AAGGAGCCCTAAACCCCTATAAACCCTAATCCCTAAGCCCTAAACCCTATAGATCCTTGAAGGAAAATTTAGGGTATCCGCACTTTGGGTTCAGTGTTTGGCCTCCAGTTTCCTGGGCTCGGCTACTTGTAATCTACATCCTACACCTTTGAACCTTTTCTTGCAGCTCAAGCGCAGCCACCTGAATTCGTGGGACTGTGATTAAAGCCATAAGCTTTTAACAGGGTTGCCCAGAGAGCCCATTACCCCTTAATTAAGGAATATACCTTAAATTAAAGGTGGCTTCAACATGCGATTTACGGTGTATTCCTTCATTGGGCTCTTTGAAGAAGATTTTAACAGGGCTGCACCAAGCTTGAAAAGGGAAGTCGGGAGTTTTGTTTTCAGATCCTAGGCGCGAAAACCACTGACACGAAGGACCCTCGCCCCCTCAGCCCCTCCACCAGCTCCTGGCTTACCGATGCCCAAGGGTTGCGACCAGGACTTTTGGGTTTTGGGGTTTGTGTAGGGATTAGCGCTTCTAGGTTTAGGGTGCGCGTTTCAAGTCTCTAGCAAGCAAGAAACCGTAAAAATTCCTCTGTAGGGGGCTTCCAGTCTAAACCCTAAACCCTAAGCCCAAAGCTCGAGAGTTATGGGGCGGAACCTGCGCTTTGAACCCTATTTGCTATGGTCGATGAAACCCTTCCGTCATGAACTTCGAAGCACTAAACAATCATCGTAGAACTGCAAAGCCTTGGACCCCAAACCCCTCATCCCTATATACACCCTGAATTAAGCTATCTTTTTAGGGATCCTTGTTATGATTTCCTTATATAAGTCCTTGAAAAGGTAGGTTTTTCCGGTTAAGGTAATCCCTACACCCTGAAGCCTTGTGTCACCCTAAACTCGCAGCCTTGGTTGTGCTTGGCTCGAGATTTGACCAACGCTACACAAATAAAAGCGCAGCCGTGGCAATGGAGTTGATTGAGGACCAGCACGGCGTAGGGCCATAAGCCTACATTCCATACTTATACCCTGTACCAACCCTGAACACGAAGCCCCCAAAGCCTGAACCCCATATCCACAACGCAAAGGCCATAGCATGGGAGCTTGCCGATGGTTCTGGCGGGGTTCATACGCTTATGCAAGGGAAACCCTAAACCCTAAAAGCCTTAAAAACCCTAAAAAACCCTAAAAACCAGAAAACCCTAAACACCCTAAAAACCATAAAAACCTTAAAAACCCTAACCTTAGGAATTCAGGATAGGGTTGCTCCAAGGATTCGCGAATTTGAGACTTGGGCTCAGAGCTGTAAGGTTCAGGGTTCAGGCTCCGCCTTGCGTAAAGTTTCTGCTTCGCCAAAAACCCTAAAGCCCTAAACACCAAAATTCCTGAAACCCTGAGCTTTCATGAATTTTTCCCTAAACTCCTGCAACCCTAATGCCCTGTCGTACCCTTTACAGAAACCTTATAGAAACCCTGACAGTGCCTTCTCAGGAGCCCTAAAGCCCTAACCCCTAAACCCCAAAAGGAACCCCAAACCCTAACCCTAATAGATAAGGAACCCTAAACCCTAAACCCTTTACTACACCCCTAAGCCCTAAACCGTAAAAGGAACCCCAAACCCAAACCCTAAAAGATCCCTTTAAGGAACCCTAAACCAAAAACCCTTTACTAAACACCTAAAAAAACCTGAACCCCTTAGCTAAACCCTAAACCTCTTTGTCATATGAATATTTACACTTTAATGTCAAACTTGTTTAATGCAATTTTCGGGGTTTCGCTGGCCAGACCCCAGCCCCCGCGCGCGCGCGCGCGCGAGCCGCGCCAGACCCCCCTACGCAAACTTGTTCAAGGCAATTTTCGGTCTTCAGCTGGCCAGACCCCAGATCCCTGCGCGCCCGCATGACAGACCCCATACCCAAACTTGTTTAAGGCAATTTTCGGGGTTTCGTGCGCTCGCGCGCACGCGCCAGACCCCGTACGCAAACTTGTTTAAGGCAATATTCGGGGTTTAGCTGGCCAGACCCCCACACTTGTGGTTTAGATCTAAGTTCTTGGATGTTCGAGGGTGGGGTGGGGTGTTACTAACAACTGTGTGCAGCATACATTAAATCAACTAAGAAGATCATACAGTACATCGGCAAACACAACCACATTTACTTTAGGGTTTGGTCTGACATAGGGCTCCAGGGTCTGAGTTGGGATTTAAGGCTATATAGGGTTTAAGGCTATAGGATCATGAAATCATGCAAGTGTGAATGAAAGTCAACTATGAATGGTATTCATTTGAGAAAATGAAGTAAAACTTTGTATTTCCTTAATGTTATGGGATTCTAAGGGTGGGTGGGTGTTATTTTGAAGTGTAAACACAACCCGCCTTTAACACGGCTCGATCCGGAGCTGCTGAACCCTTAACCTTAAACCCCGTTTAATAAGCCCCTAAACCCTAAACCCTTGTGTCAGGAGGAGGACTTCGCGGCCCCAGGACGGGTGGCCCGCACCTGGAAAGGCAGAAAGAGGTTTCTCTTTGGGGTTTAGGGTTTCGGCTCCCTTTCAAGGGATCTGGGGGTTTGGGATGGGGTTCAGGGTTTAGGATTTGGGGTTTAGGGTTTTAGGGTTTTAGGGCTTTGGGGTGTAGGGTTTAGGGTAAAGGGGTTCCTTAAAAGGGTTCCTGGAAGGGTTCCGAAAAAACGGGCCTTCATTATGGTATAGTATGCGGACAGCGGCCTTGAGGGGCTTGCTTTCAGGGATCTTAAGGGTTGTTTGTCAAAATTTGGGCCCCTTTTTGGGTACCCTAAATATTAGGTGCCGTATGAAAATAAGGACCCAAAATGGGACCATAATTTGAGAACCACGCAATAGGGGTTTAGGGCTTGAGGGGTTTGGGGGTTTGGGAGCTTAGGGACTCCTCCGGGAAAGGGTTTGGGATTTTAGGGGTTTGGGGGTTTCGGGGTTAGGGGTTGAGGGTTTAGGGCTGGTTCTATAGGGTTTCTTAAGAGTTCTACAGGGTTTAGGGTTTCCGGTTCTATGGTTTTTAGGGGTTTGGGGCTTAGTTAGCTTTGTTGAAAGATGATGAAAGAGCAGAGCTCTATTTGGGGGTATAGGGGTTTAGGATATTATTATGATTGTTAGTTGTAGTATTATGGTTTAGAAGGACAAAGGTTCGCAGCCGAAGGACAAGGGGTCTGTCTGGATTGGGTTAGAGGTGTTTCAGGGTTTAGGGCTAGTTTACAGCTGTAGGATTTAGAGTGGTTTCTTAAAGATGATAACAGAATAGTTTTTTTGGGGTATCAGGGTTGGGATTTGAGGTTTAGGGTTTAGGATAAACTAGTTACAATAATAATTCCCTTTTTGATTATGAGCATGTGTGTTCTCATGCTTATGTTATGATTGCTTTTAGGTTACTTCGTCTGGTGCTACTGTTGCGACTGTTGCACTCTTGGTATTCTTTGAAAAGTTGTTCGTATGAGTGCAGGAATAGGGTGATTAGTTTTCATTGATGTTCGGACTTCTTATCGTTTTGAGCTGTTTCTCTTTCTGTTCCTTGAATCGACGGTGTCTTTGCCTTTTGAAGGTTACTTCACAAGTAAACATGACTTCAATCCTGACTCCCTTGGTGTAACATGGTGCTGATCGATTGAAGGATATTGAAGGCTCTTTTAGATGAAAGCCTCAGCCCTGCCCGAGAAGGGGGCCTGAAATCTGAGGAATTGGCTCAGCCCGTGGCGATGGTGCCGAACGTAACCGGCGATCGGGAGCTCTGGAATGTGACAGTCCAGATCAACACAATTAATGTAGACACTCGGCTTTCTTGTTGTAGTCGAGCTTCTGTTTCTGGATGTCGGGTTTTCTCACACAAGCGGTTCTTCCTTGCATGCAGTTTGGTGCAAACTCTCGTCTTCGCATGTGTTCTTGCTTCTTGGCAGACCCTTGGCCAGAAAAGTTCCGCAGCTTGTGCGGTACTCCATGTGTATGAGAACGTGATTCGTCGAGGCCGCAGGTTTCAACTGGTTTGCACAGGCACGTCGCAAAAACCTGGCAGTGGCTGCCAGGAATCGAACCCTCTTACAGACATCCGCGGCGCAAGTGTTGCGATATATCATCCACCGGTTTCAGGACTTCGACGCCATCTGCCAACTCAATCCTGCCTTTACACCGCTGCTGGAGCCGGTCGTGGACCAGCAGTGGGCAGGCGGGCCGAGAATCTGCATAATGTAGACCTCTCATAAATCAACCCCCTTGAATTCACGGCCTTTTGCATAAGGATCGGCATTCGATTCCTGTTCAGGGAGGAAGGTTTACGAATCAGGAGTTGCTGTGAAAGTGGCAGAGTTGGGACACGACACTCCATCCGCCCCTTTTTCCTCTCCTTACCTTTGGCTAGTAGGCAATGGAAGAATGGTAGTAGTAGTAGCAGTAGCAGTAGCAGTAGCAGTAGCAGTAGCAGTAGCAGTAGCAGTAGCAGTAGCAGTAGCAGTAGCAGTAGTAGTAGCAGTAGTAGTAGTAGCAGTAGTAGTAGTAGTAGTAGTAGTAGTAGTAGTAGTAGTAGTAGTAGTAGTAGTAGTAGTAGTAGTTATAATTGTACCCCATTCCTCCATTCCCTACTAACCAAAGCTAAGTCTCTTGAGAGGTCTGTACCAGCCTCGCTGGCCGTGCTTCCACTGCCTTCTCTACCGAGGAGCGGAGGCCTGAAGATGGCAGTAAAGTATCATAGGAGGCCAGAAAGTTGGAACATCATTCTCCCCATGCCCTTAAGGTAAACTATAAGGGATTCCAGCACGAATCCTGCTAATCCCATGTTCCAACTTTCTGGGATTCGCTGTAGATTCGTGGTCACTGTTTAACCGTCTACAATAACCTTCTGCAAGTTCCCGTGCCTGGACCCTGGACTACAGGGCAACCACGTTTCTGCAATGCCGTGCTTGTGGCTCTGGCGACTGTTCGGCGCCTAGATGCTCAAGTCCCCGAATTGCATGCATGTAGACAGGCACATGTGAGCCAGCTGGCCGGGAGAGGTCATGATGGCCCTGAGACGCTTCAGCAGCCACAATAGCGAGGTTGGGCATCTGCCCCGCCCGGGGTTTGCACACTCGAGCAGCCAACTGGTCACCAAGCTTGATCCTACATTGCTGAAAAGTGTATCTTTAAGCGAGTGTGTGCGCGGCTTTGGAAAGTACCTGGATTCGACTCGCTCCGTCGACAAAAAGCTGAGTCGACCTGGCGAGAAGTTCGATGCCTTCATCAGTCACGACTGGGGCACGAGCCGTTGGCTCAAACTGGGCTGCCTTCTGATCCTCTTCAACACCCGTGCTGCTGTGGTCGGGACCGTCCTTGCCAGCACCATATTGGGAGTACTTTGTTCGCTGGAGGTGCTACCAACCAACGATTTCGTCGTCATGGCGGGTCATGCGGTGTTTCTGTTCCTGATGTGCTTTTGGCAAAGCATCCGCGATATCTGCAATGCCAGTCCGCGAGTTTTCCTTGACAAGCTGTGCATCAGCCAAGAAGACCCTGAGGAGAAGAAGCTTGGAATCTTAGGCCTCGGGGCTTTTTTGAAGGCCTCCGGGAAGTTGGTGATCTTATGGTCGCCGCGATACTTTCATCGCTTGTGGTGTACCTATGAAATTGTGACATTTCTGCGATTGCACGGCGAAGCGGCCCGGATCCAGATCATGCCAGCAAAAATGGCTTGGCTCCTCGCGTTGACTGCTTTGATGTGGCAAAGTGTACTCTTCACCGGTCGATTTTTGATCGATTCAGTTGGTGACCCTGTTTGGTTTCCGGTGAGTTTCGCCATGGTTTTGCTGGAAGTTCTTGGTCTACTTCCGCTGTACAACTATCATGGCCTGGAGATCTTTGCGGATATCGAGGAGCTCCCTAGCCAGCTACGACAGTTTCGACTTCAGCAGGCTCAGTGCACATGCTGCTCGATTGGGCATCGTCACCCCGATACCGGTGAGAGGATCGAGTGCGATCGGCAGCTGGTGCTGAGCACTCTGCAGCAATGGCACAGCGAGTCGCAAGAACCAGAAGACCCAAGTTACGCCTTCCTCGAGTCTTTCAACAGCCTGGTTCAAAACCAGCTGTCCCTGCACGGAAATGTTGGTGGTGATATGCTACTGCTGGCAGACTATGCCATTTTCGCTTTGGGAGCAAACGCTCCCTGGATGATTTCAAAGATACCTGTCATTGTGAATGGGCCGAGTGAGCCGCTCGCTGGTTTGGCCCTTTTCAGCTGGACATTGAAGCAGCTACTCGACCATCTCATGCTCTACATGCTGACTTTCACCTTCATGCGCGTGACCATGTTCATGTGGAAGTATGTTGCTCCCATCCTGGTCTTCGAATCGCGGAGGAATTCGGCGGTGGTCTTAGTAGTTCCACAGCTTGTCCTGGGTGCTGTGGCTTGGGCGCCTTGGTGGTTCCTGCTTCAGCAGCTGTCCGAGGAGAGCTTGGTTCCCCTCCTAGCATTCCTTCAACTTCTCATCGTCGATGTGCTCCTCCTTTTCGGATTTCGGCCGTCCGTTACCTCCCAGGTTCCTGGCGACGGTCCATCCACCCGCGGCACAGAGCTGGGGAGGGAAGTTGAAGCAGAGCTGGGGAGGGAAGAGACTGCGAGAAGTGACCTGGACTTCATGGGGGTGCAAAGCTCCCTGAGCTGTCCTGAGGAGGACGTGAGGTGGTCTAGGTCGGATGACTTCTTTTCGATTTGACTTGAGAGTCTTGAACGGCGGTGCCGGCGCATCAGCGCAGCGGCTTCTTGTTTAGGCAGATATGAGCCTCAAGTTTTATACGAATTCGATAGCCATGAGGTGGTGATGGTGGACCTTGAGCTAGGATCAGTCATTCTCGTTCTCGTAGAGAACAGTTTGTGAGAGCTTTTGGAAGACTGGTAGATTGGTGAGGAGAAGAGATGGATCTCAGGATCCGAATTCCGAAGCCCCGGGCTCAGGCTGTAGCAGAGAAGGGCCGCATTGAATATGGGAAGCAATGAGAACCGAAAAGAGCCCAAACCTTACCATTGGTTAATAGGGAATGGAAGAATGGTAGTAACGGTAGTTATACTTGTACCCCATTCCTTCATTCCATACTAACCAAAGGTAAGAAACAGGCTCTCAGCGCCGAAACCCTAAACCTCGGCGGCAAACTTCTACAGCTGAGGATTGCGAGGGTTGTCTGGTTGGGTCCTGCAGGCATGCTAATGTATAGTATGCCTCGGAGGGGTGAGATCTTGCCTTTGAAAGAGGCCTTCCATCTTTCTGAAAGAGAAGTTGGCATAGGCCGCCCAGGGATACTCCGAGTGCAGCGAAGACTTATGTTTGAAAAACGTCTACACTTGCTGATATGTGCTCATTGTCCTTCTTGCGCTTAACACTTCGGCTTGAAGTTTGAAGTTTTCTCGCTTTTCGGAGTGCCTGGATGTATCAGCGTGGCAGCCGTCTGGGCTGCCTTTTTCTCTTGCCCCATTCTTTCCACGGAAGGCTGCCGGTTCCTGCCAAGCAGCTGTGTATGCCGACCTGGAGTGGATGCGAATGGCCGAAAAGTCGGAGCGACACTTTGTCGTCTAGCATTGGCAAGATCCTTGTCGTCAAGGCTTGATGAAAGCCTGTGTGCTTCCCAGAGAGCCAAATATCCCTTAATTAAGGAATATTGCTTAAATTACAGGGGCCTTAATATTATGATTTAAGGTATATTCCTTAATTAAGGGGTATTGGGCTCTCTGGGTTGATCCGTCACAAAATGCGTCCTGCGTACCGGAGCATCTTCTGCCTCAGGCCTGATGCATGCCGTACTGGCAGGCTTGGCCGCTCGATGTGGTACTTAAAGGATCATGGGACTTAGTACGTAGAGTTATTATCAGGGTGACTATACTTATAACCCCAATTAGGGTACTTACAACCTTACTTACTAAGTCCCATGATCCTCCAAGTAGGGTTATCAGTCTGTTGGCTAGGGGATTCGGGTTCCGTGATGTGAAAAGGTTTTCAGGTTGTCAGGTTTTCAGGCATGTTACATAGCCGCTGCAGAGGTGATCGACACCACGCGAACACGCCAGGAGCAACAGGACCGGCTAGGCCACCAGGGTTTAGGGTTTAGGGTTTAGGGCGGACGGGAAGGGAGGGCTCGAGGGCACCTTCGGTTGGACATGACGATCACCCGTGCAAAATACATGGGGGCATAGTCTAGCTTAGGATCGCTGAATGTCTGAAACCCTCAAACCCTTCAGCGATTCCCAGCTGCAGAGGCTTCGGTGGTAACTTCGGTTTATGCGGCAAGAAAATACGTCGAAGAGGGGCGAGCGTGGAATCTTCGAGCTGTGCGCCATGTCAGTCCCAAGTGTATGATACTATAATATACTCTATTTTGCCATAATATACTGTAACATACCCATAATATACCATAATAGACTTAATCGACCATAACATACCTTAATATACCATAGCAGCTCTGTTGAGTTCGTCCTCTGCTCGGACAAAAAAGCCCTGCTTGCAGCTAGCTCTCGGCATGTAACTGGCAGCGCGCGTGCCCTGACTGGATGTTTCCGTGCAACGTCCTTCACTTTGGGTTTAGCGTTTAGGGTTTAGGGCTCATTCTGCCTTGTTTAGGCAAAAGCTTAAAAATGCAACTTAACTCTAGTTGTGTAGATCAGAAACCCGAGGTCAGGACTCACCCTGATGACCCTGGGAACACCGGGACACATCGTAGCCGAAGGCAAGACCCATCCCATGTGCCACGAAAACTCCTTGGCGTAGCATTCGCGAGAGTCACAGCATCTCATCATGCGCAACTGCAAAAGGCGCTATGCTGTTGCGAATGGACAGCCGCCCGGCCCAAAAAGCCCCAGAAGTATTGAATAGGGCAAACAGGCCAGTAGAGCCAGAGCGCTATGGGGTGCAGTGGAAGCATTGACAGCAGCAGCGTGGAACCCCAGGTTAGTGCCACTGTGGTGCTCCTCGTGCCGGAGTCTCTTGCGTTGTATCCGAACCGAGCATTACCACCCAGTTTCGATACACATCGGCAGTATGTCCAGAAGCTCAACGGGTACCTCTCCGATGTGCTCGAGAATCCGAATGCTTTCCACAGCAGGGTGAAGCTGCGCCGTGAAAGCTTCGAAGGCAACGGCCAATCGCGGCCCGCGGTGGTGCTCCTCGTGCCGGAGTCTCTTGTGTTGTCTCCGAGCCGAGCATTACCACCCAGTTTCGATACACATCGGCAGTATGTCCAGAAGCTCAACGGGTACCTCTCCCATGTGCTCAGGAATCCTAAGGCTTTCCAGAGCAGGGTGAAGGTGCGCCGTGAAAGCTTCGGCGAAACCAAGGGCCGGTCGCGGCGAGTGGGAATCTAGGCTCAGACACTTTATCGTAGTTGAGAAAAATTTTACATTTTTATGGGTACTTAAACCCAATAAGGAATGAAAAATTAAATTGTTTATCCGATCCCAACCATGAACTAGGACAGGGGCATCTTCCCATCTTTAGTGACACGTGACCGTGGCAGCCGCGTGGTGGATTCACTCTCGAGACCTTTCGGGCATGCAAAAAAATGTTCCCGAGATCCTTGTTTTCCGCGCACGGCTTCGCTGTCTCAAGTTCTCCTGGCAGACCGGAACATTGACTTGGAGCACGCTTCCCAAGGGCCTGCAGGGGCCTGCAGGGCCATGTCAGGTCTGCAAGAGGACGTTTTGTTGTCTCTTTATAAATATGGGGGTTTCCGAAAATAGGGGACCCTAATATAGTACCCTAAATAGTAGGATCCTTATTATAAGGACCCTAAATAAGGTACCCCCTATTTTCGGAAACTCCCAGAAAGTTTCTAATGTCTCTCTGTCTGTAGATATCTCATGGCCAACTGTACAGAATGCAGGCTTAGACAGGGGCATCTTCCCATCTTCCATGACTTCCACGTGGCCGTGCCAGCAGAGTGATGGACTCACTCGCGATGTCAGTCGGGCATGCAAATTCATCCCGAAATCTTTTTTCCTCACACGGCTTCGCTTTATGAAGTTCTCTTGGCAGATCAGACCGTCTACGACATGGAGAACACTTCCCCATAGCCTGCATTGCGATGTCAGATCTGCCAGGGGACGAGTCTCCAGTGAACTCAATGACTCTTTTCCATAGATATCTCACGTGCTTCCTGGTGGTGGCACCGCAAAAGACATGTCCTGGATGTGGGGTGTTGCCTGTTTGTTCGGGTCATGACCGCCTAAAGTAGCAGGAGCCCAAACAGCACTACCAAGGAGGAAGTAGAGGCTCAAAGCCCTAAGCCCTAAACCCTAAACCCTAAACCCTAAACCCTAAACCCTAAATCCATAAACCCTAAACCCTAAGCCCTAAACCCTAAACCCTAAGCCCTAAGCCCTAAACCCTAAACCCTAAGCCCTAAACCCTAAACCCTAAACCCTAAGCCCTAACCCCTAAATCCATAAACATGGGAGCTGGCATTCCAGGCAGCTGAAGCCCCAAGCTCGTGAGCTAAGAAGCCGAGACAGGCGCTCTGGGAGCCCCTTGGGACCCGAAACCCCAACTCTGCTTGGTCTCAACTTGGAGGTTCATGGGTAGTTATAAGTGGGGTTATAAGTAAGATAAGTGTAGTTATAGCCCAAACTAGGGGATTTAGTTATAAGTGGTGTTATAAGTAAGATAAGTGTAGTTATAGCCCAAACTAGGGGATCTATAACCCTACTTATAACTACCCGTGAACCTCCAAGAAGGCACCTGGCTCTCCAGCTCCTTGTCCTCGTGACGGAGACCTGGTCGAACCTGAAGTCAGACGCCTGTTTTTCTTGCGGGGTTTAGGGTTTAGGGGTTTAGGGTTTAGGGTGCTGTAGGATTTTTTCCGTGGAGTTGTAGGGATTGTGGGGTCGTGCATGGCCGAGCAGGATCAAGGAAACTTGTTGCAGGGCTTGGGGTGGTTTCAACAGGCTAGGATGCCCAGTAGTACCCTTATTCCTTTTTTGTAGTCCTAGGTTCCTTATAAAGTTACCCAATACCAAAAAGAGAGGCCTTTTTATTCTTAGGTTACTGGGTATCCTAGTATATTCGTTTTCGTGAGCTTCGTAGTGCTTTCTGAAGCCTTCGAGGTCGGTAGGCTCCTCATCATAAAGACACCCCCTAGAGGAATCCATCAGAAACCCTGAACCCTGAACCCTAAGCCCTAAACCCTAAGCCTTAAAACTTAAACCCCAAAACCCTAAGCCCTAAACCCTAAACTCCAAACCCTACACCCTAAACCTTTGTTTCAAGGCGGATTCACTGGCACCAGGGTGACTTCTGGAGCAACTACAACTTCTACGCCGGGAGCCCAGAGCTGGCTCCGCTTTCGGCTTCGGGTGGCGCAAGCCTTCCTTCAAAAGAGGGTGTAGTATATTATAGTATTGTATAGTATATCAACTTAGCTTCAAAGAGGGTATAGTATATTGTGGCATTTTCTAGTATATGATGGTTTTTCATAGTATATTATGGTCTTGTATAGTATGTTACTGTATATCAACTTAGAGTCATTTCAAAAGGGGTGTAGTGCAGATCGCGCCGGCACGAGACATCGACGCCCGATTCAGTTCCAGCCAGGAGCCCCGACAACAAACTGAGTCATTGAGTAGCCTCCACATGCCCAGGTGTAGGTATTCATCAACTCGGCCGTCTTCGTGCGAGCGACGATGATGCATGGCACCAAGTAGTGACTTAGCGTTCGTTATCCCACAAGCAGCAATCCAACACGGATACCGCCAGCAACAGAGTGCAGGAGCAGTCATGCCGTCGCCACGGTCAAGTCAGTTGCACACGTTTAGAGGATGGCTTTATTCGTGCGACACTGTTACGCATGCAAAATGCGCAGAGCAAATTGCTTGTTTTGGGTTTAGCCAGCTTTAACTTGATTCATTGTGCCTTGAGCCCCAAACCCTTTACCTGCCTTGAAACATCCCTGACCGGTAGCGAGGTGTCAAGAGAGTTGTCTCGGCTGGGTCAGCCATTGGCCATGGGGCTTCCAGCGCTTACGGTCATGCAACCCGCAGGGACAATGAGCCCTGCAAATGTTGACATGGAACCGGGAGAGGTGTCGCCAACATCCGAAGCCAGGTTGAGTCGTGAGAAGCAGCAAGTCCACATCCTCATTGTCGGCAATGGCATGGCATCGCACTGGGCATCTTTATGGCTGTTTGAGGATGGCAATGTCTACTCAGTGGAACTATCCGCCATTGACTTGGACACCGGGAGCAGATGGGGACGCTGCCGGTGTAAGATGCGGCACCTAGCAGGCAGTGATCCAGATTCTCCTGCAGCTGTGTCATCCTTTCCTCCTTCTTCTCTTTCTCCGTTGATTCCTTTGCATCCTTCCCCCCTACTTCCACCCTCCTCATGCCCGGAAGAAGCACCGCAAGAAGCATCCGACAGCCAGTGCGAGCACGACGCGGAAGTCAGAAAAACAATCAGAGAGGCGATCGAGCACATGTGGCGCGGTCCGGCACCAAGAGACATCGAGGAGCCCATCGCCAAGTTTGTTAAGAACAGTGGCAGTCGACACTACATCATGACTCCCGAGCCAATTGGCGTAAACAAAGCCACATCCCCAGAACTGCTTTGGAATCGTGCGCAAGCGTGCCCGTTGCATGGTGGATTTTACGACCTCTTCTTCCAGAACTGCCAACTTTTCCTGTTGCAGTTGATTTGTATTCAGTACGACGTGCCTGTCAACAATTTGCCAGCAACAGTTGGTTCTGTTGCTGCCGCCCCAGTCCTGCTGCTGATGGAGGCTGCTTTCTTAGCAATCTTCATCGCACTTCGGCAGGCGGGACAGCCGATTGCAGCCGCTTGCTTTGCTACAGTCTGGCTTACATTCGAGAGTCTTCTCACATGGAGGTATGACAGCACTTTCACCTGTGTCGACGATTTGTTTGGTCTGTTTTGGTTGACGAAGCTGGCCTGTTACTGCACAACTGCTGTCCTGCTCGTGGTCCTGACCCCGTCGTATGTTTTCCCGGTGGTCGTTTTCCTTCTTTGGATGTGCATGGCATATTCTATGCTCAAGGAGGTTTATGCCTCATTCGAAGATCGCCGACGATGTGTTTGGCTTCGCGGATTTCCTGTTCTACCAGCATGCATCATAACTTTCGTGTTTGCATGTCTTCAACCTTCCGACCTGTTTCATGTGCTTCCGATTATAACCTTGATCTGGGACCTGGCTTTGGTATGGGCAGCATTACGTGCCAATCTGGCAGACAACAGGTACAATTGTCGGTGGATACTGCTGGCGATTTCTATCGTCTTTGCTCTACAAAAAGGGGTTGGAATTCCGGCAGAGGTTCTCATCGTTTCTCTGGTCCCCACCTGTGTTGCGGGTGTAGGTTTGTGTTGCCTGGGTTTTGTTCACTTTGGGGTTAATATGTGACAGGTGCAAACTGTGCCGTCGATGGACCGCAGACCGCTGTATGGCGCGCCATGTGAAATGGTTCACACTTTGCCAAACTTTTCCCAAACCACAACCCCAAAGCCCTAGAGAAACCTAAGCCCGTGTACCTACCTATACATAACTCAATAAACACCTAAAGCGATTGATTTTTGACAGGCGCCGACCTCGAGAAAGCCCACATTCAAAGCTGTTCTTTAAGGGTTGTATTTTATTTTAGGGTTGTATAACGGCGTTTGCACGGATTCCAGAAGGTACACGGGTGCAAAGGATTTCTGGTTCAGGGTTTGATTTTTTTGATCCAGGAATTTTAGAGTTCGGGGTTTAGGCTATGCGGTGGGTTCGAGTCGAGCTTGGGACGTAGAGCTCAAGGCTTCAGGCGCGGGCGTAGGGATGGAAGATGATCTATATATATATATATATATACATACATATATATATATATATATAACATGTCAAGTCTTCGCTTTCAGGCTTAGTTAGCAGTATTGATCTAGGGCCTTGAAACGTGTTCTCACTTCCCTTCTGAGACTCACGTCTCTGAAGATTAATCTGAGCTCTGCTTCTCACTCACTCTCTCACTCTCTCTCGCTCTCTCTCCCTCACACACACACACACTCTCTCTCTCTCTCTCTCATTATTTGTGCAATGTTCAATCCTGTGAGGTTCAGTTATTGAGTAGGGGTTTGAGATTAGGGGCTGCAGGTCGTCGGACTTTGTTCAAGCTTTGGCCCTATGGGCTTGAGGTCACAGGACTCTGCACGGTTTGAGGGTTGCTATCCCTTGGCGGTGCGGGGCATGGGCATGCGGGCTTATTAAGGGCGCTCATAGGGCATCTTGGATCATTGCAAGCAAGGATTTCGGACAGTGCTTCGGCGGTCGTGTGTGAGGGTATCAGAAGGCCAGCTCAGTTGCGACTTTCGCTGTGTAGCATTTCTATTACATCCCCATACGTCTTGTTGAAGGTCACTCTCGAGGATCCACCCTATAATCCTTACATAAGTTTGAATCCTGTTGAGTACGCAGGGCGTCAGACATTTCGGGGCGATTGCTCAGGGTGCGGTTTGCAGGGAAGGTTGGTAAGGTTCAAGAAGTTCGAGGTACTAAGGTTCGCAGGTACAGGTTCACGCGAGTCATTATGGGGCGGATGTTTTCCTGTTCCTTTAGATACTTTGAGTTGACATATGTTTCTAAGATACTCAAAGCTCCTGACTGGGTATCAACCCAGCCGAACGTACAACATGAAGCCAGGCTTGCCCATTTAGCCATTCTATAAAGGGTTTAGCGTTTATTTGGGTTCCTTTAAAGCGATCCTTTAAGGGTTCCTGCAAGGGATCAAAAAAAGGTTCTATAAAGGGTTTAGGGTTTAGAGCTTCCGAGACTTGGGGGGGTTTTGGGGGATCTATAGGGTTCCTTTCAGGGCTCCTTGAAAAGGATCTTTAGGGACATGTGGGGGTTTTAGGGAGTTTTTGGGGCTCAGGGTTCCTTACAGGGATCTGTAGGGATCCTTTAAGGGATCTATAGCGGTTGCACTTGGAACGGCAGGGGGCCTTCATGGGATCCTTTTAAGGCTTTAAGGGATCTATAAGGTTTTGGGAAAGTTTAGGGTTTTAAGGGTTCTAAGGGTTTCAGGTTTCAGGGGTCTCTCCTTTAAAAAGGATCTATGTAATAACCCCGCACCTGGGAAGGCAGACATTTGGGGGCGTTTAGGGTTAGGGCTAGGGTGCCTTTAAGTGATCTTGGGGGTTTTGTGCTTTAGGGTTGTAGGGGTTTGGGGGTCTAGGGAGTTTAGGGTTGAGGTTTGGAGGTCTCGGGATTCGGGGTTAGGGGTTTAGGGCTTCTTGAAGGCGGGTTCTACAGGTGTTCTTAAGAGTTATACCGGAGTTTCGAGTATTGAAGTTAGGCTTTTTTTTCAGGGGTTTGGGGCTGAGGGTTTAGAGTTTAGTCCTTCGAAAGGGGTTTAGCATATTTTGATTATTAGTTGTAGTCTTATGGTTTAGGATGACAAATGTCCGCAGCCGGGAAGGACAAGAGGCCTTTTTCGGATTGGGTTGGGTGTTTCAGGGGTTCAGGGCTGGTTTACAGGTTCAGGATTTACGGGGGTTTCTTAAATATGATAGCAGAATAGTTTTTTGGTATCGGGGTTACTATTTGAGGCTTAGGGTTTAGGATGATAAACTAGTGATAGGGTCATGGTTCCTGTGTTTATTATGAGCATTCGTAGTCTCTTTCTTATGGTATGATTGCTTTTTCATTGTACTTCGTAGATTTTCTACGGTATTAACTATTGCGACTGTTGCACTCGTGGTAGTCCTTTAAATGTTGTTCGTATACGTGTAGGAATAGGGTGATTAGTTTTCCTTGTTCTTCAGACTTTTTGTAGTTTCGAGCTGTTTCTCTTTCTGTTCCTAGAATCGAAGGTGCGTTTGCCTTTTTGCAAGTTACCTCACAAGTAAACATGACTTCAATCCTGACTCCCTTTGTTTATCATGGTGCTGAACGATTCAAGGATATTGAAGGCTCCTTTAGCTTTGACTTCGGACAACTGGTGGGTTGTGCAGAGGTTTCAGAGGCTCGTTCTAGCTCGATGAGCGGTCAATCGATTGCCTGATGCTCCATGTTCGCCTTGAGTGCTGCCTTGATGACTTGTAAGAACGACCAAAAGTTCCAGATTCCTAGATGTAGTACTGGTTCTGGGGCTATTGCCCCACGAGACACGTCGACCCTTTGAAATAGCTCTAAACACGGAATGCGCCCTACGTCATGGTCGTGCTTAGGGCAGGCCCCGGAAAAGGAAGACCAGAAGCCCGCGAAGCAAACTAAACAGATCCGACATCCTAAATTCCCGTAAACTCAGGAACGTCTGGCAAACTCCTTTTTGGGGTTTCAAGCCTTTTCCATTGACTAAGCATCAAGAAGCCATTTCCCGAAACGCCAAACCCGGGTCCTTTAGACACTCGATGTCGCCAAGGATCGATGTTACTTTCTGCGTCTTTGTGCACCCTGCCCCAGCCGCAGGCCCTTGGAGGGTCCAGGTTTAGGCTTCAGGGGTTTAGGGTTTAGGGGTTTAGGGTTTAGGGGTTTAGGGTTTAGGGGTTTAGGGTTTAGGGGTTTAGGGTTTAGGCGCCCTACGCGCGGTGATCTATGCTTCTGGGTCTGCGAGCTTGGTACAGCACGGCTTCGGCTTCGTGACAGGTGAATGCTTTTGGGAAAGCAAGTACGGTACTATGAGTTCGTGTTTGCCTACATAGGGAAGCACCACGGCGCTTTTGCGAGTAGTTGTACCAGGGGCTTGAAGGGATCTCAAGCCTTTGAACACAGCTATAGTTGACCATGATATACCTCCAAGAACAGTGAAGGGTTTCGGGAGTTGAAGGTCGCGGTCACAGAGGCCAAAAAGACCATAGACGCAGGGTCCAGTGGGGCCATTCAATTCAACTGCAGCTTAAAGCTTCAGGGCTGCGTGGCGGGTATTTCGGGGACCTTGTGTTTCGCCTTCGGAGGTGTATGGAGGAGTAGGTCGTCTGCAAGAAACGATTTCAGATCTTTTTGTGCTGTTGGCAGGCGGGGATTTGCGGTTTTGGGTTCGATGCGAACATCGGCCACAAAAAGCCTGCACGGGCAGGCACTAGAAGACTGCAGCAGTTCAGCATCTTCAGAAGGCCGAATTCCGGAATATGCATGTAAGCGTCTGGAGGATAGTGGGCGGTGCTTGCAGTTAGGCGTGTGGCCTATGATGAAAGAAAGAATGGCAGTATATCTAATGACCCGCGTGCTCGTGCACTTTTCAGTTCAGGGTCAGCGTGACGCCTTTGCGGCTTTGCTCGAACCTGGTCTTCCAGGCAGCTGTTCTTGTTAGTTTCGGGCTCCCTGCTGTGGTCCATGAATTATATGATCGGCATGCTCCGTTGTTTTTTGATAGCGGGGTATGTATGTGGTTGAAAAGCTGCCAAAACGTGTGCATAGGTTTGGAGCAGCCCTCGCAGCCGCTTAAGTGGCATGTACCAAGGATCAGGCATCATGTTGGTCTTTCTCGTCACTGTACATTGCTGCATACTTGGCATGGTAGCGAAGTGTCAAGAGAGTTGTCTTGGCTGCGTCAGCCATTGGCCATGGGGCTTCCGGCGCTTACGGTCATGCAACCTGCAGGGACAATGAGCCCTGCAATTGCTAACATGGAGCCGGGCGAGGTGTCGCCAAAATCCGAAGTCAGGTTGAGTCGCGAGGAGAAGCAAGTCCACATCCTAATTGTCGGCAATGGCATGGCATCGCACTGGGCATCTTTATGGCTGTTTGAGGATGGCAATGTCTACTCAGTGGAACTATCCGCCATTGACTTGGACACCGGGAGCAGATGGGGACGCTGCCGGTGCAAGATGCGGCACCTAGCAGGCGGTGATCCAGGTTCCCCTGCAGCTGCGACATCCTTTCCTCCTTCTTCTCTTTCTCCTTTGATTCCTTTGCATCCTTCCCCCCTACTTCCACCCTCCTCATGCCCGGAAGAAGCATCAGAAGGCCATGAGGAGCACGACGCGAAAGTCAGAAAAACAATCAGAAAGGCGATCGAGCACATTTGGCGCGGTCCGGCACCAAGAGACATCGAGGAGCCCATCGCCAAGTTTGTTAGGAACAGTGGCAGTCGGCACTACATCATGACTCCCGAGCCAATTGGCTTAGAAGAAGCCACATCCCCAGAACTGCTCTGGAATCGTGCGCTAGCGTGCCCGTTGCATGGTGGATTTTACGACCTCTTCTTCCACAACTGCCAACTTTTCTTGTTGCAGTTGATTTGTGTCCAGTACCAGGTGCCTGTCGATAATTTGCCAGCAACAGTTGGTTCTGTTGCTGCCGCCCCAGTCCTGCTGCTGATGGAGGCTGCTTTCATAGCAATCTTCATCGCACTTCGGCAGGAGGGACAATCGATTGCGGCCGCTTGCTTTGCTACGGTCTGGCTTACATTCGAGAGTCTTCTCACGTGGAGGTATGAAAGCGCTGTCACCGTTGTCGAAGATTGGTTTGGTCCGTTTTGGCTGACGAAGCTGGCCTGTTACGGCACAACTGCTGTCCTGCTCTTTGTCCTGACCCCGTGGTATGTTTTCCCATGGGTCAGTTTCCTTCTTTGGATGTGCATGGCATATTCTATGTACAATGAGGTTAATGCCCCAGTCGAATATAAACAACGATGTGTTTGGTTTCGCGGAAATCCTGTTCTACCAGCATGTATCATAACTTTCGTGTTTGCATGTCTTCAACCGTCCGACCTGATTCAAGTGTTTCCGATTATAACCTTGATCTGGGACCTGGCATTGGTATGGGCAGCATTACGTGCCAATCTGGCGCAGAACCTGGGCAATTGTCTTTGTATACTGCTGGCAGTTCTTACTGTCTTTGATCTACAAAGAGGGGTTGGAATCCCGGCACAAGTTGCCCTGTTTTCTCTACTGCCTCTGTTGACGTGTGGTGTGGGTGCAGGTTTGATATGCTGGTATCTTTATGAGCTTGTTACTAGTTTCTGAGTCTTGTTAGCTGAGGGGAAGATATGTGACAGGTGCAAACTGTGCCGTCTACGGACGGCAGACGGCTGCATGGTGCGCCATGGAAAATGGTTCACAATTTGCCAAACCTTTTTCCAAACCCCAACCTCAAAGCCCTAGATAAACCTAAGCCCGTGTACCTACCTATACATAACGCAGTAGACACCTAGAGCGATTAATTTCTGACAGGCGCCGACCTCGAGAAAGCCCACGTTCAAAGCTGTTCTTGACGGATTGTATTTTATGGTTGTATAACGGCGTTTGCACGGGTTCCCGAAGGTACACGGGTGCAACGGATTTCTGGTTTGTGGTTTGGGATTTTTTGATCCAGGGTGTTCGAGCTTGGGACGTAGAGCTCAAGGCTTCAGGCGTGGGTGTAAAGCTGGAAGATGATATATGTATATGTATATATATATATATACACACACATCATCACGAGTGAGAGTTCGCCGAGTACAAGAACAGCTTTTCATATATATATATATATATATGACATTTCAAGTTTTCGCTTTCAGGCTTAATTAGTAGTATTGACCTGGAGCTTTGAAACGTGTTCTCACTTCCCTTCTGAGACTCACGTTTATGAAGATTCTTCTGAGCTCTGCTTCTCACTCACTCACTCACACACACACACACACACACACACACACACACACACACACACACACACACACACACACACACACACACACACACACACACACACACACACACACACACACACACACACACACACACACACACACACACACACACACACACACACACACACACACACACACACACACACACACACACACACACACACACACACACACACACACACACACACACACACACACACACACACACACACACACACACACACACACACACACACACCACACACACACCACACACACACACACACACCACACACACACACACACCACACACACACACACACACACACACACACACACACACACACACACACACACACACACACACACACACACACACACACACACACACACACACACCCACACACACACCCACACACACCCCACACACACCCACACACACACCCACACACGCCCACACACACGCCCACACACGCGCCCACACACACACGCCCACACACGCGCCCACACGCGCCCACACGCGCCCACACGCGCCCACACGCGCCCACAACACGCGCCCACAACACGCGCCCACAACACGCGCCCACACGCCCACACGCACGCACGCACACACGCACGCACGCACACGCACGCACACGCACGCACACGCCCACACGCACACGCCCACACGCACCCCCACGCACCCCCACGCACCCCCACGCACCCCCACACACCCCCACGCACCCATGCACCCACGCGAATCGCTGTCCAGCATTGCCAAGGACGACTCCCCGGGCGAGCAACGTGGCCAGCACAAAGTTGCCGAGTACTCCGACACTTCCTGGCGCACGATCGTCTATGGCAAAGAACTTCAAAGAACTGCGCTCCAGGCTAGTCTCCCAAGAATCATCTACCAGTAGGCGGGATGGGACATCAACAACCAAACGGTCCGTATTCGTCCACCCGTCCGCATAAATCCTGATAATATCCATCTGACATGCTTCATGAACCCCAAAAGTCCGTGAAGCCGTAGCCCTTGTGCAGTCAGACGTCGGGTGAGGCGACGCATACGTAACAGGAATTGGTGCTACTGATGCGAGTGGAAGCACTGCAAACCTGTGCACTGCAACGCACTAAAGTCACTAAAGCCCTCCCTTGGGAGACTCGACCGGATGCCTCGAGGAACAGCTCCCCGGTCCCGGTCGGCCGCGGCGGTGCGACTGATACCAGGATGCTGCTGCTGCTGCACCAGCCTCACCGGCACTGGACCATAGGCAAAGCGAGGGCTTTAATTGGCTTTGGATCTTCGGCGCTCGGCTCGACCAAAGGATTGCATTGCTGTGGCGCATCTGCACCTGCCACAGTGTCACAGGCCACAGCTGCGGCAACAACAGCCGCAGAGTGCAGCAGAGCAGCGCGCACTGCTCTCAGAGCAATCCACAGAGCGCGCCGCGCGCCCTGCACGCGTGTGCCTCGAGACGGCTGCCGGGTCGGAGCCAGGAGGGATCGCGGAAGCTCCAGTCGTAGCCCTGCGCAGCGCAGCACGCAGCACTGCACGTGCTCTCAGCTTTGAGAGCGCTCCCGCCTGCGTCGCCTCTTCCTTGGAACCTCCATGGCCCGAAGTCGGGCGCCTGCTTCTCTAACGTGTTTGAAAGGCTTTCGAAGCGGGGGGGGGGGTGGCGGAAAAAACGTGGCTTGGGCACGGTCGGGGCATCAGCTGCGGCTGCAGCACCTGAGCACCCTACTTGGCCTCCCTCTCCTCAAAGAGCAGAGAGCGCATGCGGCCTCCCAGGTGCGATCTGTGTCGGCCCAGCGAAGCCGAACCTCACAAAGAGACGCCAAAGCTTCCTTTTTGATGCCCTCGCCCTCGCTCCGCGCGCGCGCGCGCGCGCCTGGAACCGCGTTGCCTGGATCCCGTTTCCACGGGAGAAATCGTGCTGAACAGCATAGGCCACCTCAAAGCGACAAGTTCTGCAACAGTGGCCACTGGCACTCAAAACATCGCTCTCTCTCTCTCTCGTCTCAGTCGCTCTCTTTGGGCCAAGGCGGGACCCAAGTCCTCCACCGAGCCACGGAGCTGCGAAGCCGGCTGCTCCTCGCGGTGCCCCGCGCCGGATGTTGGGGGCGTTTTGGGGGTTGCTTTTGCATTGCAAGCGGCCCAGCTCAGATGCAGGGAGAGGCCGTGCGTTTCGGGCCGGAGCTGCCTCAGCTTCCGAATTCCCGGCGCCAACTTAAAGACGAGACGAGAGAGGCGGAAATACTCGGGCCCCAGCAGCTCCAATCCTTGTGGCCTGCCAGAAGAGTTCTGGCTCTCCCTCTAAAGTCGGTCCGCGGGAGAGGAGGCGCCTGTTTGGGGGTTTGGGAGAGAACCAGGCCGAGGGTGGCGAGGCGGCACGGCCCCGGCCTTGCACAAGAGCGGCGAGTGCCACGCGTCACACAAAAGCGAACCCTTCTTGCGGTCCTTGGGTCATGAGGACTCGGAGCTGGATGGCAGTGCACTCACAGTTCAAGCGCAGGAGTCTGAGCCTGCGTCTCTGCATCTCAGAGCACTGCACTCCAAGCCCCCACAATCCACTGGGCAGCTGACTGGAGCCGCTCAGGGTCACCACCCGCCTGCAACCTGTTGCAGTGACGGACATCAAGCCGCAGGACTTGTCGTGCGTACTGTGCAAGAATCGGAGCGAGATGCGGTCATGGCATTGAGGCCACCCAGGCCACGCTGCGGGCCTGAGGCGCGCCTCCACAGAAGCATTCGCCGGGACCGTGTTCCACATGGAGACCTGCAAGCTAGACTCTATAGGCAAGACAGTGCGCCACAGCGGCAGCCGGTGGCCGCCTGAAATCGGTTCAACGCAGCCGCCGTTGCAGCACCTGCACAACCACACAGGCCTGCCTGGCGAAAGAGCTCAAACCAAGTCTGGAGGCCGGGCGGTACTGCAAGACCAGCTGACTGGAGAGCTCCTGTTGCGACGTTTGCTGCAGTCAGGGGTGCGGTTCCACAAAGAGAGTGGCCTTTGGATAGGGCCAGCGCAGCAGCAGGGGGGGTGAAGGTACCTGTGGCGCCTCCCGGAAGCTTTTCTGAAGCGGAACCATGGATGTGCTTGAAGGACATGCGCTTGCATATGGCAGCCGTACAGCACCGAATCCGATTGAACAAGCCATAAGACGGCGAAACTAGCTCGTTCTGAAAAGCTGCGTGAGCTTGTGCCTCTGGCTTGATCGCTTTACACCCCACAATTCAGCATGTTTGTGCGACTGGTGACGGCACCGACGCGGGCACCTCCCCAGGCGCAGCGACCTCCACCGGCGAGGCCGAGTCCAGGGCCAAGGGCTGGGGAGCCTCCGTTAAAGTGAGCCCGGAGCCCGCGGGGGGGGGGGGGTGGCGGGTGCAACATTGCTCTGGCGGCGCTGGGCACGGTGCGGGCAACGTGATGTCCGCCGTCGGAGAGCAGAAGCTCTCGCTGCGAAGAGCCCGAGAGAAGTCCTCGGAGACACGAGCCCCAAGAACTCCACTAAGACTAACACCCCACGACAACTGCCGACTGCCGCTTCTCGGAGTGCCGGACGCGTGGCCCCACGTGTGGGTAACGTGCTTCCACAGCGAAGCTGTAGCTGACCTCAGAGAGAAGAGCCGCAAAGCAGCAAGAAGTGGCGGCATGGGCGTATGCCCCCCCATTTTTTGGGCCCCGTCGTTAGGCTGCAGGTAGCTGACCTCAGCGTCTAAGGAGCCCGAGGCCCCCGGGCCCCTTGCGCCTCGAAGACAAGCAAAGCCGCTGTGGTCATCTCCCACTGCTTCGAGCCATCAGAGACGAAGCAGGCCACCACCTGAGCCACTCCTAGCCCTTCTTCCCTCTTCCTTCTTGCGCTCTCCGCTCTCGCCGCTCTCTCTGCTCTCTCTCTCTGCTCTGTCTCTGCCTGCTCCCCAAGCTCCTCATGGTCCTGGTCCTCGCAAGCTCGCAAGGAAGAGGAAAAAGAAAAGGAGCCCGGAGGAGCCGGTGGCACGGAGCTGGCCTCCAAGTCCGGCCCTGGCGCCTTGCCGCTGCCGCCGCTGCCGCCGCTGCAGCTCTGCGCCTGCGGAGCTAAACCCCAGCGATCCTGGCGGCGGTCGGGGCCCGGCCCTGCGGCCGATCAGCGCCTGCGCCACCACACGGTATTCCACCAAGAGGAGCTCCCCACAGGTGCGGAAAGGCACCCATTCCAGCCTAGAAAAGCAGTTCAGGGCACGATCTCTTTAAATAAGCGCCCGCGCGAGACGCGCTTCCCGCAACGAGCTCGGGTCTGCGCAAGACCGCACTCTCGCTGAGAGGCGTGAGCCGGAGGCCCTGGCCGCGGTGCGGCGAGCGTTCGCGAGAGCTCTTTTAGTTGGTGGCAAGGCGCGCCTCTTCTTAGGCAACCCCTCTCTCTTCTTCTCTTGCTGCTCTCTCGCTCTGCCGCTCTCGCTGCGCCTCGCGCTCGGGATAGGGAGGCACCAGGCACGTGGAGACGCGCATTGACCTGACATGCGGGGGGGATACGGACTCCGACTCGGCGCAGACGCGGCAGACATGGTCGCTGGAGATGCTGCGACTGAGCTCACCGACGGCTCCGACCAGTCCAAAGCCATCTGCTGGTTCCTGAAAGGTCAAAGGCCACAAGGCAGCGAAGGAGCAAGGAAGTCTCGAACACTGGGAGGATTTGTGACCTGCAGCGGACGCTGAAGGCGTAGTCAGGGCCCGCATGGAGGATGGGCACCTCTGCAGCCCCAGCGTAGCGGCAGCGCTGAGAGCTGTAGGGCATGCCAGCAAAAGCGGGATGCCTCGAACTCGAAGCTGAGCTCCTGCTCCGCCGAAGACTCCTCGCCGTCCTGCACACAGCTAAGGTTGAATCTGCACCGCGGCCCACACAGCGTCTCCTCCAGCGGCTCGAGGTAGCCACAGGGCACCATCTGAAGCTCCTCGTGTGCCTCCGATGTGCTGCACTGGTCTGCGGATTGCAGGACTGCCGCGGACTGCGCGGGCGCCAGCCTGGCTGCGGCCAGGACCCGCAAAGCCGAGAAACTCATCTTCGTGCTGTACCACGCCAAAGCAGACCTCCGAAGCCGCCAAGTCGCGCTGCCTTCAGAGCTTCGCTCAGCTCCCTTTCACTTTGCCTCGTGGCAGAGCTGGCCACGCAGCTCCACAGGCCTCAGCTGCGGGCTGCGGGACTGCGGCTGCGGGGGTCCGGAGTATAAAGAAATCGCAATCATATCGAGGTCGCGGCACTTGCCAGCGAAGCGTGACCTTCATCTGATAATCCCCCAAGAACAGCTTCACCTCAAATAGCCAAGGGTTAAGAGTCAGTGGCAGGAAGTGGCGAAGAGTCGCATATTCGGCCTGTGGGCGATGGAGTTGCCCAGTGCCCAGCAAGGGCAGGAAAGGATGAGGGGCAACCTGTAGCAATGCAACGCACTTCACATTTAAAAGAAGCTCCGTAGAGAATTTTGTGCCAGTTGGCGCA